GCACTATAAGAGGATGGCAAAGCGTCATAAACTAGACAGGCAGACGTTTGGTCAGCACAAGGAAAGACTCGGAGGGGTGAAAGTAAACTATGAGAGTATTAATAATAACAAGGATATCGAATGTCCAAACCCGAGCTCTCAGTATGACTACAGGGTTAAAGATCCAGTATCTCTGGCTAAACTGTTCATGGAGCCTCGTATGGCGAAATTTAGCGCCTTTGATGATGAATTTGAGGCTTCGGCTACTCTGGCTGTTCTTGCGGGTGTCGAAGAATTTGAAAGAAATGTCCGTAGTGTGGCAAGAAGCTTGAACGCTGTGGTGCGGGTACCGTGGGCTCATCCCATCTTCCGCGTTTGGACGGATAAGAAATATGAGGACTGCTTCCGGACCATGAAATTGCTGGTACAAAAGTTTTTTAAAAGTGAGGATCAAAAGGGAATACTGGTTAAACTAGAGTTTTGGAAAACTCAAGGTAAGTCTTAAGACGTTATTAGCAGTTTTTTCCTAAGGTAGGGGTGTGTTGCTTATTTTATCTGATAATAATAATAATAGAATAATAATAATAATGATAGTGATAGTAATCTTTATTAAGGCAACCAACATCGAAATTTATTGGTTTACTGAAGGTTCATCACATTAAGGAAAAGTAAGCTTAGACTAAAAACTAACTAAGATGTTAAAAATTTTAAAAATATAAGCAAGATCTCAATAGACAAATGACATCATTAAAAACCAAAACAACGTGCCTTTAGACAGGCCACTTTTAAAAGTAGTCACTGAATCTCCTTCTCTTAAAGAGGAGTCTGATTTGCTCCAATTACGATTACCAAAGTCGAAAGCGACAACTGCTAACATATTATTAAAGATGGTATTTTTTGTGAGCGCGGTAATGAAATAGGGAAACATTTTCCTTCTTGGTTGTACTTCATTTTGGAGTAAGCAATGGGTTTAGGAACTCAGGGGTAAAAAATGCCTTCATATCTGTATGCTCACCGAATCAGTTCACGTGTTTTAGTTACTTATCAAGTTATAAGAAGTTCAATTTCAGCCTGTAAATTGATGATTACCTTTTTTGTCACAGGCCTTAAAATCTGTCTTGGTAACCCATTGGACGATGTCCTTTACAACAACCTACGAAAGGAAGTGGAAGCACTATGGGACATGTTAACAAAGTACCAAGAAACAACGGGTGTAGAGACTAAAAGAATATGCCAGACTCTTGATTTGTTCAGACGTGAGGTTCATGAAGCCTTTATCAAACTCCGAGATAAACAATCATGCCTTGAGCAAGGTTGCCTGGAAATGGAAAGAGGACTGAAAGAGTACCTAAGGTCAGAAATGCAAAAGTTTGAACAACGATTCTCACGTTTTGAAAATAGTGTCCACGAGCGGATCGATGGACTTGATGGTAAAATTGCAAAACTTTCTGAGAGGGTGGAAAGGGAAACTGCAGGAACCATCAGTAATGTACAATTCGGAAAGGAAAGTAGTTCGGACTTAAGCTGCATCAGACAATTCATACAAGAAGAGAAACACCTCCAACCTAACAAGGAGCTGGCCTCTGCTACGCAAAGTCGTGAGCTTGATCAACCACTAGCCCTAGACGAGCTGGATACTGTAAAAAAGAACAAACCAAAAGGAAGAAAGAAAAGAAACCAAGCAAAATCGTGAGCAACAGCACTTTAGGAGAAAGGAAACTGTTGCAAAAATCCGCATAGACGGAACTTCAATTTTTCCTCACTTTATTGCTGTCCGATACAAAACAGCAACGCGAGATGACCATATTTCGAAACCCCGCGCACAAATTATAGAGGTTTCTGCTTGGACCTCAACCACGCCTTAGTTGTAATATTTGTGAAGGAACGGAACACGAATCTCACAAATGAACCTTGCAAACCTTAAGAATTGAACCTTGCTAACCTTAAGAAATCAACACTGCGAACGTTCATGTTATTTTTTAATTAGGCATAGCATGAAGCCGAATACTGTTTCTCTTATCAAAGGGCGTATTTATTGACACATGCATAGCTTTACTGTACCAGAACTGAGTTTAAGCCTTCAAGATAAGTTGTTGTCCACGAGTACGGATAGGTTTTTTCGACGAGCTAGAGCCTTGGAATCTTGTAAATCTAATTCTAGGAGGATATAGCCAATAAAAACTTAACAATATTTATATTAGCGTCATGGCAGGCATTAGTTTGCAAAATAACGTCAACTATGGTCGAGAGAATATAAACCACCTCATTACATGGACGTGAGTGTTTTGCCGGGAACTACGACATTTGTAGACTCAGTAAGACCACCACATCCGGGAACCGAGTGGCCTATTTTTCTTATGTAACATGAGTGGCCGCGATTTTAAGCGACGACGTTTCAATTCTCGCCGTTTCAAACTTTTCTGAATGAACTTGGCTTGTTCGTGGTAAGGAATGACTAAATGGCCGCGAGATTTGTTATGGTAAACGACGAAGATGTAAATGCACTTTCCGAATAGCAAGAGAACGATTAAAAAATAGAAATGAATTTTATGTTCGCGTGGCACGAATAATATCTCATAATATTGCTCTTACCAATCGAAAGTAAAATTCATATCTTCTCGCCATCGAGGAACATCTTCTGTCTATATTCTATTGGTATGGTAAAAGACGATTTTAGAATATTGGTCGGTTTTGATCCGGATAACTTTCAATCTAAAGGCAGATTCGTTCAAAGAGGCGCTCTTGACTACATCTATCCCGACCGCAAGATATATACTCTATTGAAAGTATGAGACAGGTAAGATGGAATAGACATTTTAAAAAGTAAAGGCCTTTAACATTTAAACAAGAGAAATCAGCTTAGTTCCCCTCTTTTTAATTCATTTTAGGTGTGATCCTAAGGAAAGAGCACATCTTAGTAAGATGATGATTATGATTTGTGACGGTGGAAGATAATTGATATAATGGGTTTTGGAATAAAACGAAAATCATTTATTTCCTAATTCCTTAACATACAAGGTGTTCCATTTATAGAATCAACTTCCTTTTTAAACAAACGGTCGCCTTTACATATATTTACCTTAAATCATTTATATATATTATTAATAATTTCATTTTTAACCAACATTTACTTTATTTCTTTGATTAGAAAGTTTAGTTACTCCTCTACTTGTTTTCAAACCTTTTGCAGATGGGCCCCCTGGCGCGGATATGGAGGGTAACCTCACCCGCTCTTTGACACAGATGAATTGCCAGATTCAAGGATCTTCTTAAGATAAATTGTTTAGTAATATTTATTAAGATAAATTGTTTGAACCTTTTTGCGCATTAAAGATGTGAAGATATCATTGCATATTTTGTTTTGATCATACGCGGTTGTTTTGACCGAACGCACGATTTAAATAAATTATTTTTGCACCTGATGCGCGCGCTTTGCTTATGCTTAATTAATTATGATAAGTCATTTCGTATTTTCCATACAAATTATTAACACGCAATCACATGATTTTTCTCGTACAATTTGGAATAAACAAGCACTTGTTAATTTTTTTCAAAGACCACAAATTGCACATGCCCTACGGGCTCGTGCAATTTTGTTAGCATTTAAAAAAATTTACTCGTGCTTATTTATTCCAAATTGCACTCGTAATCATGTGATTACCTATACTAATTCACTTTTAAGGGGATTTTAATGACAAGAATATTGGTAGCCATCGATAATCTACTATAAATTTGCATAATTGACGTGGCGGTAAATTTAGATGTTTTGTTCAGCTGTTACGCAGCAACGCTTTGTTTCTGTGACACAAGTTCATTACGTTTGTTAGTTTGATGACAATTCATGTCGGCAGATGATTAGTAATTTTTCTTTAAAGAAAAACGATGGTTACGAGTATGATAGTTAAGAATATTCGCTAGATTGTCACTTTATTTACTCTTACTTCCACAATCTTACCAGATCAAATCTAGCGGAGCTGCAATACTCGATGGGAATGTCAACTTGCTGGTCAGATAGCAGTGTCGACTCTCGGTCCTCACTGACTGAATCCTCGAGTTAAATCGAACCAGTAGAGATATCCCCTGCATTTCCGCGAGATTGCCCTCGATACTTCGAACCCTCGGTGTTCGCACCTCCATTTTAATTTGTTTGGCTTTTCCTTTTTTACCATTACACATCAGGTCTCAGTGCAGTCAAGTTTTTCTTGCATGTATCTTTCATAAAACCATGTTGCTACAATCCGTCTCTTGTTTGCACCGTTGAGCTATATTTTCTCTCTGTTTCTCTTATAAACGGCATGCCGTTAGTATTACTGAACTTGGTAAATTCAGTCAGACGAGGAAATGCTCACTCAGGCATGACTGTTGGATATGATTGACAGTTGTTCACTTGAAAAGTTACGCATTTATTCGTCGGTGTTACATTTTCCGCTTTCGACTTAAAGGCTGCCTTTTTGTGCGAGTAATTTCTCACGCCTACGGTGATCTTCGATTTGCCGTTTACACAACAAAGCATTAATCGAATTTATCAGGAATAATAAGCCTGTAACCACGTCGTTTATCGATCTGTCAAGTCATCCAGTGTAGTTGATAGTTTTGTCGCTTTGAAACAGTGCTGATAAACGAAACAGGAATTCTGCACCGGTAAGCTCCATTCTTTGAGGCGGGTTTCAGTCAGCTTTTTGAATGCATATTTCAGTTTGTAATAATTAACTAGTTCACATCTTGATCAAGTTCTCGTGATGTGCGTACGTAACTCAAGCTAAGACTATTTCATGCTCACTTAACCGTTCAGAGTTCTCGTGAGTTCTTAGTAGAGTTTCACGGCGTGAAAATTGTATTTGAAGTTCCACCCAGCGAACAAAGGTTATTTAAGCCTGTGCTAAACAAAATCGAACCATTTGAATCGATATAACCATTCTTGAAAGACTGTTTTGAGAAGCTTTTAAAATTTACTCTTCATTTCTCGTAACAGCTCGTCAGAATGCAATGAAAAAAAAAGTAGGGCCACAATTGTACCTTAAAATTTTAGTGGAGTGGACGCGTGTAATTATGGAACTTAGGAACTTGAGGAGAGTTGTGGAAATGTGACGAGGAGAAGTATGGAGGAGTAAATAGAGGTGAGGGAGTTGAGACACGTATAAGTGCGAGTGTTATCTTGACGTTTTAAAATTTTTAAATGATGAAATAAAAAAAGATTTAAGGTCTACATTAGAGTGGTGGGAGAAAAGTTAAAAAGTTACCAAAAGCGGTGAAAATTCGATACTTTGGATGCATGAAAGTGAAAGTGTTGACGGGATAATAACTTGAAATAAATCAATCGAACACAAAACAGGACATTAATAAGAAAGGAGGAAGGTTTCATATAAATTAATGTAGAAGTTTGGAAGTATGTAAGAAAAGTGAAATGTGTGATGGTGAAAATTCTATAATTGTGGATTTAAAAACATCTGAGAGTTTTGAAGTATGGATGTGTTCGATTATTTAAGTGTGGAAAGAATAGTAAAGACGACGAAAGAGAGAGTTCTAAATTTAACGAATATAGCATTAAGGCTAGTTATAAACTATTAAAAATCTCGTATAACACAGACAATCTTGGTTTAAAAAACATAAAAACCAACAAACCAACTTCTGCAAGGGGAAGACACTTTCAAGAAGAACAATTCAAACAAAATTATCGAGACCAAATATGCTTCTGTTATGAGCTACCATTATTCTTATGTTTGCGTCGATTAAACCCGGCCTACCTTCCCTCTAGGTGTTAGGTAAACTTGTGACTTAGAGAGCAAGAAACAAAGCATGGCTTCGTCGCCCGAGACAGACACAGAACATCGACGGTGGTTGGTGGTTGGCACTGTTCTTAACAGAGTTCTTATGCCGTATCTCAGAAAAAAGATTCAACAGGAAATGAAACCATTTTACCAGAATCTGTTGGCAAAGTATGGATTAGACAAGCAAACCTATCCGACTCACCTGAAGACTATTCCACCAACCACCCTGAAGCTGAACTACGAAAGTATCAATAACAACACCGCCCGGGGTCGAGACACCCATTGCTTTGACTATTGTGTAAAGGATGAAGTATTATTAGCTAAGTTGTTCATGAAACCTTTCATGGCACATTTCAATGCATTTGATTCCTCTTTTGATGCCTCGGCGGCTCTGGCTGTTCTTTGCTCTGCTCCACCATTCAGCTCTGCAGCGCCGTCAGCTGAACTTGTGAGATCTGAAGTACGAAATGAGTGGGCCCATTGCGACTATGCGTCATGGACGGAGGTGAAATACAATACATGTTTTGATCGAATGGAGACCTTGGTTGAAGATCTGAGATTTGCCCCAGCAGAAAAAACAGAGCTCCTCGCTGAGCTACAGTTGTGGAGGAAGCATGGTAAGATGTCGTTACACATATTTGAAGAAATATTGCTTTGTCTTCCCCTCTAGCCGAGGAGGTCTCAACCAAAATTGTATCTTAAGGCCGATAGAATATGCTGGCTGTTGAAGAGATACGGATTGCAATCTCAACGTAGACATTCATGAACCAAATTGAAGACATAAATTCGAAAAAAATCGACAAATCTTCATTTAGTGTGAACCAAGTATGAACCAAGTATGACTATTTAATGTGAAACACAGAGCAATGAAACTAAATGAGACTTCCCTTTTTCTCTTAGTTTGTATTACTTTACATAGAAAGCATAGACTTGAGCTAAGATGTCACACCTTTGACATGCAGCTTGATCTTTGTACGTGCTAGTTCCCAAGCTCTTTGGAGCTCAAACTGCTGATTTCCGTTGATTCTAATCGCTTATATAGCGCTTATAATTAGCATCGTCCAGTTAAGATCAGTTCTTCTTTAATTCGAAACAGTGGGCACACGCGCCCGCTTTCTGCTCGTCTCCTCCAGCTGCTAGTCTGGCAAAACAAAGGCAGGCAACCGTATGGGTTTGAGCCCACGTGACGTGAAATAATTGTTTATCTCTAAATTTCGCTGTAATTGGCAACATCCGATCTCACTTTCATTCAAGTAATCGAGGATAATTCCTCACAAAGCTTACAATTTGCAGCTTTTGATCATTTACTCTCAGTTTCCTGTGTTTACTTTCAGTTTCCTGTAATCATTTATTGTCAGTTTCCTGTTTACTTTCCTGCGAGGGATCTAGTAATTTTTATAGGAAAGATAATTTCCACCACCCCCCCCCCCTTCTTTTAACCGACACTTCTTAAATCATCGAGCCGTGTAGCTTCCTAGTTTCCATCCCCAAGAACCCCGACAAACCTCTTTCACTTTAAATTATCGCTCCCCACCTATTTTTCAAGCATGTTTAAGGTCGATTGGTGTCCAACATATATGCCACAAATCATTACATTTACGCTTCTCTAAACAACCCAAAAGCCTACTCTGTTTTTCCACTTCGTTAACAGTTTTGCTATCGATACAAGGTGTGGAAAGAAGATATCGAATTATCGAAATTAAGCAATCAATCAATCGCGCTCACATTTCCACCACTAGCGACAAAAGTATGACCGGACTCCCTTTCCCACCGGTGCACATGTGTGTCGTTGAAAAGGCGGTCCGAAACCAAACTACTGAGAGAAAATTTACACGCTGGCGGGAGGAGGGTCGTGTTGTTATTTTGTCGCCGGTGAAGGAAATCTGTTCGTTGTAAGTTGCAGCAAACGTTAGAGGTCAAGAATGTTACGTGGCTTCACATCCCATATGGTTGTCCGCCTGTGGTCAACTTCTGTTTTCCAGCACGGTGAATTCATAGGATGAGTCGGTCCACGTCAAGTCAGAGCTGTCAGGCTAAACCACTCGATTCTTACAATCCGCGTATTAGTGTCGTAATTTGGATCAACCCTCTTTTCAGAGGATTATTCAATTTTCCATTTTACTAGTTTCCTTTAATGGTGAGTGACGTTGGACTTTAGCTCACGTTGAAAATGAATGCTATATTACCGGTTTTCTAATTGTTTTGTTTGTCCTAATTTTTCCTGGGATTAGAATTTTGCGTTGGTAAGCCACTTAATGACACATTTCTTAGTGTTATGCACGAAAATATAAATCAAGTACATGAAATGTTCGAGTCTGGATTTAAAAAAGTTCAGGAAACATTACATGAATTGAGCAGAAGCAAGCATGAAGAACAAACAACAAGACAAGACCTGGATAAAATGTTAAGTGATTTCAGTGTCTTCGCTACAAGAGATAAATCTATAGTATTTGATGCGCCAGATCGAAACAAGAGGTTTACAGGAAGACAAAAAGAGTTAGAATCGCTTGAAAGGTGCCTCCTCTCAGAAAACAGCGACCATAAATTTAGAATGGCGGCCATTTGTGGTCTTGGCGGATGTGGAAAAACGACCTTAGCAGCTCAATTCGCTTGGGAGCATAAACCACAATACGAGGGAGGCGTATTTTGGTTCTCCATGGAAGATGAAGAGAAGTTTGAAAGCTGTGTGAATGACTTAGCGTTACGTTTAGGACTGATGGAAAAATCATCAGATCTTACACTGGCACGAATTCTAACGCTTATATCTAAGCAGGAAAAGCTTTGGCTGATAGTTCTTGACAACGTCGACCAGCCAATACTTTCTGAAAAAATGCTTAAAGTTTTGAGAGGAATATGGAAAAGGGAGTCAAACGGTCACATGTTGATAACAACAAGGCGTGAAAGAAAAGAGATCTGTCGCTGTGTGTATCTTGAGCCAAATTGCTTTGTAGAAATCACCTCTTTCTCTATCGAGGAAGCAAAAGAGTTTCTTTTGAGTCATTTCAGCGGTGAAAATGCTGGAGTCCAAGAGGATGCGCTAAATGAGCTGGTTGTTGAGCTTGGTTGTCTTCCCCTTGCCTTGGAGCAGGCTGGTGCACATATCAAATCTCTTGGCTGCACTGTTAATGAATATTTAAAACAATACAAGCTCGAAAGGTTCAAGCTGCTAAGCGAGCATCGGGCAAATCCCTCGAGGGAGTATGACTCCTTGAATCGTCTTTCAGTCCACACTACATGGTTATTGAACTTTGAGTACGTAAGGAACTCAAAATATGGAGAAATTGCAACCAGGTTCGTACATGCAGCTGCTTTCCTTGATCCAGATGAAATCTATGAAGGACTCATCAATGCAGAGATGCTTTCCTCTGACGTTGTATCTAAAAACAAAATAGAACTCCCCCTCACGAATAACCATATAGTAGAAGTTTTGACCAAGTTTTCACTTTTCCAGAGGAAGTCTGCTGGATGCATGAAAGTACATCGCCTAGTGCAGGAGGTTATTCGTGGTACAATAACATCAGAAGAAGTCGAAAAAGCAGTGTACACAACATTTCAGTTATTAAAGAAGGCCGCTCAATCACCTGGTGAATCAGCAACGGATAAGTCTGTTTTCTCCATTATTCGCCATTGGTTGGCATTGAAGCGACACGTCGAACAACAACTTAGAGCCACACTGGATGACTCATCGGCTGAGAAAGTAGCAGCATTGATGGAAAGCGGTTCTAGAGAAATTGTGTTCGAAGTCTCTCGCACCATAAAAGGGCTATCGCAAACTTTAGAAAACCGTCGTGGATTATTAGCGTTGCTTGATGTCGACTACGACAAGGGTCTAGGTAGAAAAGAACTAAAAATTGAAAAAAGCAAAAGCGCACCCGTAAGATTGCGCTCTCGATCTCCCTCAAGATTTCTCTCAGGATCGCCCTCAGGATTGCCCTCAAGATTGCCCTCAGGATTGCCCTCAAGATCGCACTTAGAGTCGTCCTCAAGATCACCCTCAGGATTTCTCTCAGGATCGTCCTCAGGATTGCCCTCAGGATCACCCTCAGGATTGCTCTCAGGATCGTCCGCAGGATTGCGCTCAGAGTTGCCCTCAGGATTTCCCTCAGGATCGCACTTAGGATCGTCCTCAGGATCACCCTCAGGATCGCTCTCAGGAGCGCCCTTTGGATTGCCTCAAGAATGGTCCTTAGATATGGCCCTTAGACCCCCCACCAGGATTACCACCAGTATTGCCCGTAGGATCGCCATGATATTCCTCTGTGGCAATCCACGTTCTCGTCGTAGTGGTCACCAATGAACGCCATTCACAATGCTTAAGCAAGCAGGGTCGCGCACATTGTGAAAACCTCATTTGGCGGGAAATTATAAAAATGTCTTCCCTACAAAACTGCCACCAAAGCTATCGAAAGCTCAATCAAATATACCAAACTTGCAGAACGTGAGAGACCGTCTTCTTTTCAGTTTTGAATAAAACCTTCTAAACGGTGAAGAATTCATCCATCTATATGACATGAATACTTCAAAGAGCCCTGATTTTCCTTGCCGGCAGTGCGACCCATTCGATTTAGATGAATTACTAGACGACAAGTGTAAAAATTTAAACAGGAAAAGATTTCAAGATCGATAGAAAATAGCTATTTTAATTTCAATGAAATTGTCAATCACAAAAGGCACCAACAATACGGATATTATCACTTCTTATTTAGAGGAGCATAACAATATCTCATCGTTTAAAATAGGGGTTGAATTAATAACTTTCAGTGGTAGATTGTAACCTCCAAATCATGCAACTGCGTAAGCGAAGGTCGGTCTTTTTCAGTTCTGAAGCAAAACGTCCATGTGCACGAAATCAATTTGTAGACTTACTAAACAGAAATCCAGAGAAGCACTTTTATTTCGATCTCTTTCTGAATCCATAGCGTTTCGTTTGTTTGTGTATATGATTGTATCACTCTTTGGTTTCACGATTTTATTTCATTTTAAAATAAAACGACACTTCGGGCCTGTTCATGAAAATTTTCAAGAAAAATACAACAATGTGCATCCTGATTAAAAATCTCGAATTTAATCTTTTTTATTTAAAGGTTAAATACATTGTAATAAAGTAAAAAATGATCAGATCTAGTATGGAAATGCTTTTGTGTCAGTAACATGTATAAAATGCGCCACAACTTTATGCGCAACTAATTTTCTCTTGTCCGGCGTCAGACTCAAATTGGCGTTATTCAGTTTGGTTTTGCTGTTGCAATCGGATTTGTTTGCTTAGGGTTACACTTTGACACGGATCACAAAGACAAAGGGTGGCAATAAGTAGTTTGTTTTTTTTTCGAGGGAGATATTTTTATTTGGATCATAATTTTTAACGGCCTTTGGTCTAAAACAGTGTCATGTTCTGTCGTGAGGTCTTGAGTTGTTCTGATTTTCCGAATAAAGTCACTATCAAGTTCAGGGAGGCTTACACCACAGTCTTACTCATAGTCTCAGTCGAAAGAGCGCCATCGACAAAGTGAAAATCGCAGTCGTAAACGGTATCATAAGCTGACCGGAATCGGTGTCAGAAAAATCGGAACTGTTCCATTTACTTCCGATTCCCCTCATGACTCCAAAGCTTATGATCCAGTGAAAACTGAATTGTCGGAGTCGCAGGCAGAGGTGAAAAAATAAACCAATCACAATGCGAGTACTCAGGCCATCCGATTGCTTTCAATCCGACAATCCAGTTTTCACTGGATCGTAGGTGACAGCATTTCTTCTGATTCCATAAGTTTGATTTTCTTTGAATAATATCGCCTTATCCAACTCTGACTTTGTCGCGAATGAAAACCAGCCTTATGTGAAATAAGTTCAAATGAATTACTTCTCGATTTTTCGATGGTTATTCGTATTGCTCAGACATCCATACCCTATCGAGTCCTAGCGATAAAATCGAGTTCACTCATGTATCTGTGAAACAAAATACTTGTCAAGTGCACGTGTTCATAGAAATAAAGATGCTCTTACGAATTTTAGATGACCAAGAAAAAAGGGGGAGAGGCAGGTAAAAGGATTAAAAGGATTCAGAGTCGACTACAAAAATGATAAGAAACTTTGTCAAGTGCTCTTTACAGGATCTAATAGGCTTTCACCATTGAGGCCTGACAAAAATTCGTCCCCGGGTGGGCTTGAACCACCAACCTTTCGGTTAACAGCCGAACGCGCTAACCGACTGCGCCACGGAGACTCGTTACCACTGCACGTTACGCTGAACTGAGAAATTTTCTTAGCAGCTGTGCGCTAACACTTGCGGGGTTTTCTTTAGTAATCCTCACCACATTTGTATGAGGGTCCATAATTGGTCTTTTCGGGATCTGGGATATGGCTAATTTAAAGGCCGGGATCCGGGAATTTACAATAAGAGGGGAGCGGGATGCGGGATGGTTATAATAAGCGGGACTCGGGAATCTGCGATTTTGAGGAGCGGGATTCGAGAAATAATCATATCAAACGAACCGAGATATCTAGGTGTGAAATGATTAAAAGGGGAATACAAAATGGCTCCTTTTTTTGTCGCGAAGTCTTTGAAAGTCATCGAGATTGGTGGCCGTACGTTTGTTCTTCACTTCGACTCAGTTGAGGATTGAATAATATATGAATCTCAACAAGGCTTCTGTCCTTCTGTTGTAGATTTAAAATTTAAATTTCCCTCCCAGTATTCGCCAAAAACAATTAGAAATCTCGAGTAAATCTACAACATATTTATTGCTACAGAAAACTTATTTTCACGGGCCAATTAACAATACTCCGCGATCGATCGATTACTATACAATTCACACATCACTATTGTAAAAAAACGGCTTGATATTTTGCCTGAGTGCAATAACACAAACAGTAACAAAGAAACCATGTACACGCAGAGCTATATGTAGAGTTCAAAACGAGCACGTTGTCAATCCTTTTTTCATCCACAAGTTGTGAGGGAATACTTTTCGGTACATAATTCGCATTTAACAGTACAGCACCACACGAACTTACATCTACATTTGACCTGCCTGTAACGTTCTGCTGTCCGATGCGGCAGATTACAAGAATTACATAGCGATCTGCACTTTTCTTCGGATTCAAGGTCACTTACGCATGTCCTTCCTCGCAATCCAGGTAAGCCCGCGGTCGAATTACGCACGCAGAAGTCTGGGGACGAGTTAAGATAAACCAATTTCTTCTGTTTCCTGGTCACCAGTCTGTCACGGTTGTTGTCTCGTCTGTGAAGTTTGCTATTAATGAATGACACCCGAATGGCTGAACGGTATTTTCTTTTTAGCTCCTGTCCAATCACGTTAAAAAGGGCCAGTTCTTTCCAGCAGGTTTTCATGGTACAGCTTCCGGTGACGCCATGGCATCTACACTCTTTTCTCATCTTTGAGCGGACCACCTAAATTGGATGAATGAAAAAAGGAACATCAATTCTCGGTTACCTTCATGACAATAAACATCCCGAATAAATTTGCTTTTCCTTCAATTTTTGAAAAAAAAGAGGCATTGCCCACAATCATAGCACAGTGATGATACCAAGATTTGAGTTAACATTTTTTACAGATAAAGAAACAAAAAATTAATAAATAGCCTACCTTTCTTCCTACTTGATTATTGTGCAGGTTGAACGCTGTACGAGCGTCGTTTCCTTTCTCTAGTTTGTCAATAAACCGTCTCGTTTCCTTCTCTCCGAACTTGATGTCATCACTGCATCCTCCCCACTGCCAGTCGCTCTTTCCTTTTGGTTGTTTTCTTGTTTTTCCGCACCTGCATCCGGGTATTCTGTTCTGTCTGCACTGAACAGTGAGTTCGTGAGTAATAGCAGCTGCACTGATGGCGTGAAGGAAAGCTGTTTCTCGAGTTGCTGCAATGAAAAAGAAAAGTGGGTAAGGAAGAGCGTCCACAGAGCACGGTCATGAAACACAAAATATTCTATAAATAGACAGCTTTGATATATATATATGTGTGATTCACATAGACAGCGTGTTTCATGACGTGTTACAACGTTTCTAATTTCAAGAAAAAAGTTGAAAATGCCTATTTTTAATGGGTAAAGAATTCCGAATTCTAAATTCTTCATTACAGAACATTAAAAAAGATATTTCGAATTTGCTATACTAGATTTTGCTCACAGGATGTTTAAAAAGCTTCTACAAGAACTCGGGTGAAAATTCGAGGCGTTTCTTAGCAAAAATGGCGCGCACCAGGTCAGATCTCAAGCTATTAAATACGTAAGTACTGCATGGGCATTGCTTACAGTGTAAACAAAGTTCAAACTCAACTTACCGTGGGGCAAAGTTCTTTTAAAAAAGATGGGTAACTTCTGAAATACATTCTTGTCGTGCAATGAGCAGTTCCAAATCTCGTTCTGAAATAACTTTTGGCACTCAGCCAGTCCACGATAACCTCCCTCCTTGACAATACTCCATAGCAAATTGTAACTCTAAAAAATAAATGATCGCGAAAATAAGTGCACTGTGCGTTGTTTTACTGCCTGGCTTCACAAAAGCCACGAACAAGTAGAAAATCCACGTACTGTAAGTCATCGTAACAACATGATTTCGATTGCAATTTGTCTATAAAGTAAATTATCCAAGGACGAAAAAATTGCTTGAGCCCGTAAGGTGAGTGGCTTTTGGTAGTCATTAAAAAATTTACAAGAGCTGATGTACACCAAATTTCACAAGGAATCATGTCGTTACCTTTTAAAAATTCACGTAAAAAATGCATCCGCCCTGATATGCACGTAAAAAAATCGCAACCATTGATACTCATCACATACCAGCAAAAAAAAAAATAGGCACAAAACGCAAGTGTATTGAACTTATTCCGATAGTGAAATTAACTTTACAGCCTTAACACTATTACAATTATCATAATCATTTTATCATCCACATACCCTCTGTCGAAGAAAACTGCTTTCCCTGATACTGTCAGACCTGAAACGAAACAAATATTTAGTTAGATGGCATGGTTCTTTCGTTACATGGAAGATAGCATTTCTTGAACTCTATGCTCTGCGGTTGAAGAACTTGATCTTTAATTTTGTTATTTGTAGATAAACTGTTAAGACTCTTTACAGTAAAAACTTTGTTTTCCATTTCTATTTCTTCGTTTCTTTCGATTCTGATCATTTCTAACTTGCGAACTACGTTTAGCCTAGTTAAGCATCACTATGTTATAAATTCACGGACAAAAATCGCAACGAAAATAACACCAGCAAAACATATCTAAGTAGCCTCTAATTTTTGTTTTCTTCGTTCTAAATTGGAAGTAGATAAACTGCGTTGTAAGTAGTCTCTATCAAGGGTACAATTTCAAACTGTGTTTGCCAAAACAGCTATGAAACCTGTTTTCGTTTAGTGTGAATGGGGTAGAGCATAAGTTGTTCACTTTTCACGTGTTTTCAGCGTAAACTCTTCGTCAGAGCGTATGGCTGCTCACTCTGTTTGAAAATGAAATTTAAATGAAGACTTACTTTGTAGTTTTGCTGTGTTCTTGCAGGGAAAGATCCAACACTAACAGAACCAATGACACAAGAAAGAGGTTCATGATCAAACGTTTCTCAACCTACGCTTGTTGTAAGTTCAGATCCTGTCATTTGTGATTTTTTAATTTTTTTGGGGAGTCCTTATATACTAGTGACACTTAATACGAATATGCAGAAACACGCCCATTAATCAAACACGCGAACAAAAGATTGCATCAGAAGCATCCACACGAGACTAGGTGTGATATTTTAGTTTGATTACGGAGGCGAGACTTTTCCTAACAATAAAACGGCAAACAACAGCAACTTCAGCTTATTCTCAATTCGAAATAACAAAGAAATGTTTTCGATAACATAAACTTATCAGTTTTTTTCTTAGTGCTGCTGTCTCTACTATTTTAAGGAATCCTTTTAAAAGAGCACGTCTGTGGCGGGGTCGATAACCTTCTGTTCACCTTTGACAA